GATTTCTCAAATAAGTGTGAAAAGAAATATGAAATAACATAATGTTGTACTATGCCATTTTCGACACAAAAAAACACTAGAATTTGTATTGCATGTATTTTTCAGATTTTGATTGACTATTTCTCGGATTCGCCCATAGTTATGTTAAATATAAAAAGATGCAGTCGGAATTTTTTAAAGTTAAGTTAAATTTTATGTGTAGTTACATAACTAAACAAACTTAAAATTAAATACATATGTATGTTGATTTTGAAGTAATTGTTCGCAAACATGTACACACTTGTTTAAGTAAATGCATATATGCATGTATGTCATTTAGGGGAGAGTGCAAATTGTAACTACACATACTTACATATACATACAGCACATACTTCAGGAGAATAGGTTCAACATAGTTTTCCACTACATATAACTTTATAAATATATTTATATGTTAATGCTAGTTAAATTCACAAAACGATCAACACCAAAAATAACAATAACGGCACCACTGTCTTTAGTCTTTGTTGAGGTTTTGTTTTCATAGAATTAGAAAACAATACGATTTAATGGTGCACAACATTTGGGGTAATTAAAAGCAACAAACTGTTAAAGTGGAAAATCATATTGAACCTATTCTGCTACTACGTACATTTAAAACATTTTTAATTGGTCAGCTACTTTAATCTTAAAGTACCTGATTATAACTTTTAAATCCCATTTGTAACACTACTAATGAAACAATACATAAATATATGACACTTGATGTCAAATAAATAAATACAAAATATACATATGTACATACATATATCGGCGTGGTTTTATTTTCGGTATTTCAGTCGACGCACACTGGGGCAGGGGACCCTCATTACTGCAAATCTCTACTATTGGAAAAGAAAAACAATTTTGACGGAGAACATTATTTTTATTAAACAAAAAAATAAAAAATTGAGTCCATATATTATAAAAGCTTATGTATATATATACTCTACAGCGCCTAAAATCCTTGTTTTCTGGCTTTCTGTGATTCTTCTGTTAATTGTCGGGTAGGGAGAAGTGCAAGGGATATTATTTCTGGTGCATGTTGCAAACTTATTCTGAAACTGAAGTGGATTTTCGGTATTTTCCGAGAAAGTTTTAAAAGAAGTAACCGGTCGGCCGCGTTTAATTTTTGACATAAGGCGTTTGTTGTCGCAAGACGCTATTTATTCCGTTTTTTTTTCAATTCTACCAGCTTTTGCACATCTTGACTTGCATATATTTATTGAGACTTTGAACTAACTTAATTTATTTTTAGATGCACGACATTACAAGTTTTGCGTTTTTCCAGCTCTTTGATCAAATACATATGTATGTATATACTGTACGGCAAAATCAACTTTTTTTATGGGTATTGGACCAAACCAATTTTTTTTTTAAGATATTGAGTCATAGGTAAAAAAGTAATTTCTCCTTTTTTCGAAGTTAGCCTACGAAATCGAGATATAGGCCTTCGAATTTCGAAATAGGACCTTTGGTGAAAAATTATATTTAATTATTTCATATAAATAACTAAAAACCTAAAACTATATACGTAGTCCCCTCCTCTTGCTCTTATTTAAATGATATATAACTTTTTTTGTGCAATTTTATATCACAGGTGCTATAACACATAATAGCAATATTTTTCTTGACCGTTCTCTTGAGAGCCGGATATTAAGCTTTAAAATGAAATGCCGTCCTCTTGCTGTTTTCGCAGTGGAGAGTTGACTCACATTCGGAAGTTAAGTACAGATTTTCAGAACAAAAATTGTAAGTTAACTGCCAAATATGAGTAAAAAAAAACTATTTGCACAAGGACATTTTTGATGACGTATACTCTCGTTAAAAACGATGATGAGCAAAAAAAAACATATTTATCCATTGAGTGCCAATTTCACAGTTTAGGGTTAAGTCACTTTAGGCAGTTAACTATAGATATTCAGTACAAAAATTTGCTAGCTAACTGCCGAATGTGAGTTAACTCTCCACTGTGAGAACGGCCTTACAAAAGTTATCAGGCAATATAAAGAAAGGAGACAGGTAATTATTTTTGCGAAAAATAAAAGTTGGGACCAAACTCTTATAAGCGGCATAAAAAATTGCTCATCCAATAACTTTTAAGAGGCAACTGCTTTGCATTCGACAGATACGAGGCATTAAGCGCCAATTGACGATTTGTATGTACATACATATGTATGTATATATGAGTATGTAAATATTTACAGCCATTCTAAAAGTGTCATATATGTACGTGCATATATAAGTATATTCATATGTACATATGTATGTAGTAGTTAACACTGTTTTGATCGAACCAAGAAGCATGATCAAGTACTAAGTGATTTTAGAACAAAGAAACTTTGTATGCAGAACGCGTAAAAACCATAAAATATTCACATAACAATTCATGTATATGGACAAATCTAAAAAAAAGGTACACTTTCAAAGCAAAAAGTTTGATTTTTTTTATTTGTGGGCACACTTATGTTTTATATATGATTCTATTCGTAATCTCTTAATAAATCGATAAACATAAGGCTAATGCATATTCATCAAGTGCTTCAAAAGTTAGACGAGGAAGAAACATTTAGATTGTTGAAAGACGAATTTATTATAAATTATTTTATCTTAATTGCTTCTTTTGTTACGTACATACATATGTACATCGCGAAGAAAAAATAAATATGAAATATACATTTCCTACTATAAATTTTATTTCCACATTTGAAGTACATTTCATAAATAACTTTTGAACTTGATTTGAGAGTTAACCATATTCTCAAATGGAGATCAAACTCCCCTTTTTATCGAGAAAGCTGTTATTTTCAAATCAATATCAAATCATTTTCAAACGTTTGACATTTGATAAAGGCTTTGATTTCAAATCATTCTCAAATGTATATGAAACCTAATTGTTTGCTGGGTTAAAGCTAACAAATATTTATGTAGTAACACGCTCCTCTGCATACTCAGCTACTGTCATAATATGTCTTATTCTTCTTCTTATTTGGCGCTGTAACCGCCTAAGCGATTTTGGCCGAGTTCAGCAAAGCATGCCAGTCGGTCCTCTTCTGTGCCAACTGACGCCAATTGGAAACGCCAAGTGAAGCCAAGTCCTTCTCCACCTGATCTTTCTATCGCAGTGGGGGCCTCCCTCTCCCTCAGATACCACCAGCAGGTTCCGAGTTGAATACTTTCAGAGCCGGAGCGTCGGTGTCCATTAGAACGATATGGCCAAGCCAGCGGAGCCGCTGTATTTTAATTCCCTGCACTATGTCCATGTCGTTGTAAAGCTCATATAGCCCATCGTTTCATCTTCTGCGGTACTCGCCGTCGCCAACGCGTAAAGGCCCGTAAATCTTCCGCAAAATTTTTCTCTCGAATACTCCAAGAGCCGCCTCATCGGATGTTGCCATTGTCCATGCTTCTGCGCCATATACCAGCACGGGCATGATGAGTGACTTATAGAGTGTGGTTTAGGACATTACTCCTGAATTGCCTACTCAGTCCAAAGTAGCACTCAGTCCAAAGTAGCACTTGTTGGCAAGAGCGACTCTGCGTTGGATTTCCGTGCTGACATTATTATCGGTGCTAATGCTTGTTCCCAAGTAAACGAAATTCTCTACTTTCTCAAAATTGTAACTGCCAACAGTTACGTGGGTGCCAAGGCGCGAATGTGCTGACTGTTTGTTTAATGATTGAAGATACTTCGTCTTGTCCTCGTTGTTGAACAGAACAGAATTCGCGGTTTTTGTTACCGATGATGTCGATGCCATCGGCATAAGCCAGCAATTGCACGCTCTTGTAGTAAATTGTTCCTGAGCGGTTCAGTTCTGCAGCTCTTATTGTCTTCTCCAACATCAGATTAAAGAAATCACATGAAAGGGAGTCGCCCTATCTGAAACCCCGTTTGGTGGCGAACGGCGGGGAGGTCTTTCCCAATTCTGACGGAGCTGGCGGTATTGCTCATTTTACACAGCCGAATGAGTTGTGAGGGGGTGCCAAATTCAGACATAGCGGTGTACTCCTTTTAGTGCTGTCGAAAGCGGCCTTAAAGTCGACAAATAGGTGGTGAGTGTCGATCCTTTTCTCGCGGGTCTTTTCCAAGATTTGGCGTATTGTGAATACCTGGTCTATGGTGGATTTACCAGGTCTAAAGCCACACTGATAAGGTCCAATCAGTTCATTGACGGTGGGCTTCAGTCTTTCACACAATACCAGTATTGGCAGAGAAAATTTTCGTTTAGAGCTAATACGGCCGAAAAAAGGGCTAAATAATACTAATAGTAGCTAAAATGAAGAGCTAGATTTTTTTTTTAAGTAGAAAATTTATTACCGTAAGTTGGTTTTTACATTTACCGCAATTTTAATAAAAACAACGAATTTTATAAGTTTAAGTACTGAAAAAAAACCCTTGTAAAACCAAAATAAGGTGCATATATTTCGAATTCTTATATGCTTGCACATACTTACTTATATAAACTAGACAATGAACTATTAGTACTTTACAAACTGTTAAAATTTGCAAACTCGGGCTACGAATAATTTTTTCAGAAAATTTGTTGAGCTTTCCAGGACATAAATGCAAAGGTTGCCATAGTGGCAAGCATAAAATTTGTAAATGCAAATACAAATACAAATCCATGACCATTTTCACAATATCCTGAACAGCCCTAATGTCTTATAAAAAATGGTAATTATATCAAGGTTTGTTGAAATTACTACGCTATTTATTCTAGAAGTGATTATCGCCGCGCCTACCCTAATGCACATATTATACATACATACATACATATAAGTATATACATAACAACCGCTTTGAAAAATGTGAGTCTCAATTTGCTTACGAAGTCAGAGTAACTCTAAAAGCTAGTTAATTTTAGTTTACCATTTAGCAAATATGTTTTTGTTTTGTTGTCATCGAAAAGCTTTTTTCGCAGTGCGCTTGAATTAAAGTTTGTTTGGTACGCTTTTTTTAGTTGCCGCTGGTATTTTACAAGTTGGTGATCACTTAAATGTGAGCGGATATTTTCGTGAACGTTAGTCAATTTAACGGTGAAAAGTAACTTGTTTTTATTTTTATGTACTTTGGTGTTAAGCATTGAAAATAAATACAATGCTCAATGTTATGTGGATTTCTGGTCTATTCATTCAATTGCTGATCTGGACTGTTTATGCATGGAACGTCACACAAGTTGGTTGAATACAAAAAAAACTTGATTGTGTGTTATATTGTACATAGCTTTTAATGGCATTAGTGTTTTTGTGCAGTTTCCAGATGACAATCAACACTTTAAACGTGTGTTGGCTGGTATTATGCGTCCGCGTGTGGTGGGTACACCTGGCCATACTGAAGTAGAAAATTTTATAAAAAGGTGACTATTCTATTTATATAGTTAAGTTTTGAGTGAATTTTTAGTACGCTAAATTTTAAGTTTGTACAGGAAATAAAATCTCCTAACCTCCTATTACATATCTATGTATGTGTATGTGTATTATTTACTTAAATCTTTCTCCGAAAGGGAACTCAAAACACTCGGCTTTACCACGGAACTTGATCAATTTGCACAGAAGGTACCCATATTTGGCAACGTTACCTTTACTAATATTATTGGCGTTTTAAACCCCAGTGCAACCGATTTCTTGGCGCTAGCTTGTCATTATGACAGCAAGTACTTCAAAAATGATCCTGGTTTTGTGGCCGCTACAGATTCAGCGGTACCTTGTGCTATCATGTTAAATACCGCTAAGACTCTATCAAAGTATCTTCAACAAAGGTTTAAAAATCGCAAAGACATCGGATTGATGGTAATATTTTACATAAATACATTCATACATATATATACATACATACGGACATATGTATGTACATAAGGGTGGTCCAAAAATGCATGTTCATAAACGTAAAGTCCTAATTTGCATGCTCTCACGCCCCGCCGCCTCCCCCCCTGCGCCCTAGGGTTGTTCTTTATCGAACACGCTTTTTTATTTCGAAATCAAGCAATATTTAGATGTCGTTCAGAGCCCTCAAAGTTTTCATGTGTTGTGGAAAAGGTCTGGTCGTGGATTTGCATTTGGAATTGTATTAGCAAATTTTTTGCTTGCTGCCATGGCAACAGTGTAAATTTTATTGTTGGGAATTTACAAATGAAACGAGTATGCAAAATCTAAGAGCATATGCACAAGATCCTGAACAGCCCTAATGTTTTCGATCGAAAAACTCCCCCAATTGTTAAGCTTACCATTATTTTAATACTAGCGATTTTTATTGGTCCCCCCATTGCATTTTTTTGGGGCGATCTATAAAAAAAAGGTAACTTAAAAAAATTGTTAAATAAGCAATTGGTTATTATTATTATTAAAAGTCTCCTGAAGAGAAACAGTTTTCCGGTTAAAAAATTTTTATTTTCAAGAATTCTATACAATTTCTACGATTTTTCCCCCATATAAAATACATGGAAAACTTTGAACGACCTCTAAATACTTTTCGAAGTCGGGTGAAGGACAATTCTAGGAAGTGAGAGCATTATTTTTTTTTTTAACACCCTAATGTACATATACATCGTTTGCTGGAAGAATTTTAAAACTGAAAAAAAATCCTTGGTTCCTTAATTAGTCACATAGTGAATTTTTTTTTGTCGTAATTGCCAAACAAAGTTGAAATGTGTACAATTACAAGGAATACAGATTTCCTTCTTATGATACAAATTGTTTTTCCAGAAAACGATCAAAGTGTTAAATTATGAAAGCATCGCAAACTTTTACGCAGAAAACGAAGTCTAAAACTATTTACCCCATAACTATAAACAAAGTGTTTATTTATTTTGCTTATAGTTACGTACATTTACTCTTCGTTTTCTGCATAAACTTCCGCAGTATAATAATAAACATTTATGTATGCATGTAGCTGATATTTTTCGATGGCGAAGAGGCTATCAAGGATTGGTCAGATAACGATTCAATCTATGGCGCACGTCACTTAGCAGCCAAATGGTCCAATACTCGTTCGTCAACTGGTTCGGGGCGAAGTATTGATAGAATTGTAAGTCACGAACTAAAAAATTTATTTTTCTCCTAATTCTTTTAATCGTTTTTTTCTATTTTAGGAAGTTTTAGTATTGCTCGATTTAATTGGTGCTGCTAATCCCAAATTTTATAGTTTTTATCCGAACACTGATGGGTTGCATCACAGTTTGTCTGAAATCGAATTGTCTTTGTCAGCTGCTCATCAGCTCGAGGGTCACAATTTAATGTTCATGAAACGATCATCATCTGGATTTGTCGATGACGATCACCGACCTTTTCTCCAACAAAGTGCGTCATATTCTTTTATTTATTTTTATTTTTTATATTGTACTTACTTTTGCTTGCCTTACTTGATTACTTTATTTCAGATGTGCCGATTTTACATCTGATAACCACACCGTTCCCGCCACAGTGGCATACTCCGAACGATAATGCCGCAAATTTGCATTGGCCATCAATCCGTAATTTTAATAAGGTTTTCCGTGCTTTTGTTTACGAATATCTACAGAGACATACGGATCAGGTGAATTTACGCGGAATAGTTAGTTAGAAATAAATTCACTATAAATAGTATACGAGTATCTGCTAAATTTAATTTCAATCTTTTTATCCCGAATATATGTCCATACATTAGGGTGATCGAAAATAACTAACCTAACGAATTTATGGCCTTAAAAGGAGCTATTTACTGAGAATAAAATTCTCCCATTAGGAAAAATTTTTATTCAAATTTTAAAAGGAATCGGTGGGCATTTGAAAATTGTCATGTAAATAATAAGTAAAAAAATTTTTTTTTATTAAAAATGTTGTAACTAGGGCTCGGAATCTCATGCACTAAAAAATCGAAAATATGCGCTTTAGACAAGTAAAATATGTAATAAAGAAGATTTTTCTAATATTTTATTGTCGGTACAAAAATAACTAACACATGCATTTTAACAAGAAAATAACGAAATCAATTTACTTCAACATACCATACACATTTATGTGGAACATTTGTTTATAATCAAGCAGTCAGTTACAATCTTGTGATTTCACGACGAATTTATACCTTTTGTCAAAATGATGTGTTTGTTGTAATTTCGTTTTGTACTGATTGTCAATGTGCGTATAATTTGTTATTGTAATTTTTGTTTTTGTTCTGCCAACACCACCTTGAATAAATTCGCCTTGGTTTAATAGTTTGAGAAAGTTTGCCATTTGGATTCCTCGTGCAACCTACAGCGACGCAGGTTCACTCTAAAACATTCTGCAGGAATGGCTTGCAGAGTGTCTTTAGCCTTATCCTTGCCGCACAGGAAGTGTTCGACTGTATCTTTTAAGTCGGTCATCGCAACTGGAACAGAACCTGTTGATCCTTTCAGCATGTACCCCAACGGGCCAGTACACTATGCACACTGCAGTAAGTTTGTAGGTATCTTCTTTGCTCATTCTTACGAGAGCTTTGGTTTTAAGTGGGTCGTAGGACACCCATTAAATTCTCAAAAAAATTACCCTCAAGTGGATTAGTTTATAGAGTCAAAAGTGCATATACTTACGGGCTAAATAGTTATAACATTTTTAATGAAAACAATTTTTTTACATGGTCTTTACATGGAAAATTTCAAATGCGCACCGATACCTTTGAAAATTGGAATACAATCTTTTTCCAAATTGGGGAATTTTCTTCTCAGTAAATAGGTCCTTTTAAGGCCATGAATTCGTTAGGTTAGTTTACTTGGATCACTCGTATACATATACGTGCATTCAGGTGTTTGTTTGTATACCAGGTGATAAACTTGTACCATAATGATAAAAAGTATTCATATTTATACTGCGAATAAAAATTGGGTATATGAGTCATATACGATGACCATCCATTCTTTAGTTTAAATTAAAGTTTGCAAATCATTTTACATTCCCGCCTTTTGTTACTTTTACTTTGATCCTATAATTTCTTAAACTGTCCTTTGAGTGTACCTTGGCACCTATAAATGCTCTCAACTCTTTAGTTTTTAAAGCGATTGGGTTGAGATTTTTGCCCATTGTAATATACCAAAATGTTACACAAGTCTCTAGTGTCTACGCGCGAGAGCGCTTCTTGGTGGAAAGGAAAGTGGGGTAAGTTTGGCTTAAGTTTTGCAGAGGAGAAAGCAGAGGAGGTGGTGGCTGCCGTCAATCCTTCTGCTACTACTTCTCCCAAAAGGAACACTGTCTACGGTTATTTATTCTACGGAAATCAGTAGCCTCTTGTGAAATGTAGGAGTACCAATATCTGCTGGTGGGAGATGCACAAGTAGGAGTCTAGTGGCTTTGCCCTTTACTACCTGTCCCGATGCTCTCTCAAAACGTGTTGATGATGCGCGAGCGGGTGTTACCGCTGCTGCCGGGAATGCGGGATTAGCGGGAGTTTGTCCGGAGAAAGCCGATTTAGCTTTTGCGCCCATGAAAAGGTGGCAGGTTAGGAATAAGATGGCCTTTTCAAAACTGGCTTCTTGCTCCACGACTACTCTGGTTTCGATCGGGTTCGCAGGCGGAGCGAGTGTAAGTGAAGGTAAGGCCGTTTCTGCCAAGCTTTATACGGTATTTCTCAGATGCAGGAGGGCCCGAACGTTTCGTGCCATCGTCCTCTCACCCTTGCTGGGTCGTTATGGTAAACGGTCTACTAGAGGAGATGGAGAAACACGGCTGTCGGGTAATTGCCTACGCAGACGATGTTGCACTCATTGTTAAAGGTAAGTACCTGAACCCGCTCTATGAACTGACTCAACGGTATCTTAACATAGTTACTAACTGGGCGACCAAAGGTGGCCTCGCCCTCAACTGCAGTAAGACACAACTGGTCTTATTCGCTGGAAAATATAAAATCCCCGACGCTGTTCCTCCCACAGTTGGAAGTCAGCGCTTACAGCTGTCTGACAGGATTAAGTAAGTATTAAGCTTGATCCTTGACAGGAAGTTGTCGTGGAGACCAAATATCTATGTCTATTGGCTCTACGAGACCGTAGTCAAGCCAAATATGTCTTATGGCGCCCTAGCCTCAGGGAACCCACTACCACTAGCTAAGCAGCTGGAGCGAGTACAACGGACTGCTTTAAATGGTATTAGTGGAGCACTGCGGACCACCCCCACATTAACACTGGACGTATTGCTGAATGTAGTGCCTATCGGCTCGGCGATTAGACTCAGGGAAACCGATTTGTTGACCGACTTAAGGACTGGACACTTTGGAGTTCTAGGGGCTTTTATTTCATCCCTGATCGCACAGATTACTCCACCACCGAAATGGCTCCAAGGAGCTTTTCCTCTGCCCACTTTCCCTCAAGGGAGGATTAGGCCGAGCGGAACTTCTAGAGAGGGCAAGCGGTAAGCTTCTTCGCGGAAATGAAAGAATGCGGATAAACTGATAAATTTAAGCAATTTATCCCGCTACTAAGACCAAGAGCTTGTCTTAGAGTGCCGATCAGCTGATTACTTGCTAGTTTTGCGTTTTTTTTTACTTATTCGTTATTTCGCTCTCTGTGCGCGTAATTCTTTAAAGCTCGTCGGCGATTTCAAGCATCCGTTGATGGTTACCCCAGCAACGAGTACATGTGTGAGTGTCGGGTTGAATGTCGGGTGCTTGAAGCTTGCCCGGCGACACTCAAGCATAAAGCGTCAACACCATTTGCAATAATAATAATAATAATAATAATAATAATAATTTGCTCATTTTACATATCACAACAAACAACGCTTTGCGCCACTATCAAACAGACCGCTTGTCAAGCGGTTGCGTTGATGGAAAATCAAAAATTTTTGATTTTCCATCAACACGAGCCGACAACAAGTACGTGTGACACGACGATCTCCGATTGCCTCGGTTGCTGGGGTAACCATCAACGGATGCTTGAAATCGCCGACGAGCTTAAATTTTCTCATTCTTCTTCTTCCTGAAAACTATCTGTTAGAGAGGAAACAAAGCCAATATCTGCTTGATAAAGTTATCGGTTCAGATGAATACCACTAATGTAAGGTTTGTATAGTAACCAATAGTCAGTACTAAGTTGCACTGGAACCTGCTGGAAAAGAGTATGATAGCCCAATTCTTCTATAAATCATGTCGTTTTGTTAACTTATTCTTTACCTTATGTGTGCACACGTTGTCACAAGCGAAAATTTAGAAAATTGCAGTAAAAAGCCGCCACCAAATTGTAAACAACGAACAAATGTAAATAAACGGCTAATGTCAAAGTCGCCCAACTTTTTTTCTGAATGCGATTATAACGGGCTACTAAGAAGAAGGCGTGATCTTGTATTTTTGGTTCATGATACAAACCTGTTATTATAAAATAATCTCAGATTAAACCGATAACTTTTCGGTGTCCAACCTAGATTTATCGATTATTTTTGCGAAGAAGAGGAGAAATGCCAAATGAAAAAGTAATAAAAATATAGTTTAAAAAACTGAAACCTCCCTATTATAATTGTCATTCGTACTGTCATCAGGTATGTGACTTCAGAATAGAAATCGCTGCATCTTTTAGGCGCATCAATATTACATAGTTACATCCCGAGCTAATAAAAGGAATGTAAAAAAAATGGACGCTATCAAGGAAAAGAGGTTAGTAAAGGTATTTTTAAACAAATATTAAGTTAAAATATATTTAAATTGCTTGATATAGCAGATAAAACTGATTTCGGTGCACAGAGAAGGAACTTAACATTTCCTTGAGATGTGAGTATAAGGCCAGTTTTTCAGTGTACAGCTGTGGTTTAAACTTAGTTTAAACGCCCGATATGGCTGCTTTAAACTAAGATCAGCCAATCAAATGTCAGCCCGCTGTTCAATTTAAAAGTTTAAACTGGCACTGAAAAACTGGCATAAAAGCATAAAAAATTTGACAGCTAATAATCTGATATTTGCCTGTATAAACGGGGCGATTAAAAAACGAGCTTTGATTGAGATTATATTTATATGTAAACATACTTTTAGATATATATATCGAAGTGGAAGTCATATTTTATCATCTTTAATACGCCAGTTCGGCTTTATTGCTAATTGGCTGGCCAAATTAAAATAATAACAAAAGAAAAAGGTTGTTAATGAAAATAAAATGAAAGAAAAGTATTTTGATTTTTTTTCTTTTTGTAGCAAAACTGTAAACAAAGGATGTAAGAAATGTCAGCAAAGGCACTTACAGCCGGTGTGAACAGCCTTCAGCCCACAATCCCAAAACTCGTTTTCAAAGTGTTTTCGTTGTCGGTCAGCACATGGTATAAGCTGTATCTCTGTTACATAGTTCCAAATTGAAAGCTGGGCTATGGGTACGCGCTATATGGAGTTACGCCGTTATGGTAAGCAATGACCCATCGCTAGCCCGATTGATATCGACGCTTATCGGCGATTTCACTAATGACGTCACAGCATGCCTAGCAACCATTTCTAGTGATTTTATTTTGGTGCTGAGTTCGTGACAGGTTTTGTTGTGTTATTTTTAGTCATTCCGTAATCAGCGAATTAACAGAGCAAAATAAAGATATTTGACCCAATAATGTTTAATCATTAAAGATAAGTTTTTGGCAAATGAGCTATGTTATGTATCTAGCCACGGATGCTGCATTTAAGAATATAAAAGACAGGTAGGTAATAGTTTGCATATCACTTTTTGAGGTTATGTTAATTTGGCGGCAGTGAAAAAGCTAAAATTTATCAAATGGAAACAAAATTTTGAACGTTTAATGTGGTCATAAATTGTGTATTTCAAATAAAACATTAAAATCCTCGAATTTCTCATATATTGCCTAAGTTTGTCTTGAGATAGAGAAAATCTGGCAAGCAGGAATCGGACTCCCACAGAGAATGATTTTCACGCTTCGTTTCATCTTTTCAAAGCTGTGATTAGTTATACGAATGTTAACTTCAAGCATAATTTAGCGTTTCTAAAGCCAGTTTTCATAGTGATGAGTTAACTCTCGCTGGGCAGTTAATTACAGAATTTCAGTTCAAAGTATGAAAGTTAACTGCCGAATATGAGTTAACTATTCACTATGTAAATGACCCTAAGTTCGAACTAATATTTTGATTATTTTTAATTCTTTTTACATTTTAGTTTATATTTTGATACCTTACGTAAATCTGGGCGCTTGCGACTTCACGTAAAGTAAACTCATTGCTTTAAACAAGAGACTATTTGAATATCAGGGATAAGATGAATTTGCTGCTGGTGTTTCTGATAATACTGGCAGTGCGACTTGCATCGGTGTTTATAGTGCAAACGTACTATGTTCCAGATGAATACTGGCAGAGTCTGGAGGTAGCTCATAAGCTAACTTTCGGGTAAGGAATTTATATTAAGTATGTTCATGAATTTTAGAATTTATTTAAATACGTACTCAACTTCTAATTAATAAATAAATAAATATAGCTATGGTTACTTGACATGGGAATGGGTTCAAGGATTACGTAGCTATCTTTACCCAGTAATAATTGCGGGCATTTACAAGGCATTGGCATTGCTTAATTTAGATACGGCACAACTGTTGGTAAGTTGGTCTAAATTTACATATTTTATTTCATAGTAAGAATATTTTCAGTCTTAACAGATAACTAACCCACGTTAACCAATTTCATGATCTGAATTTTTTTAATGGAAAGGTGGTACCTTAGATCCGATCATTGGATCATAAAAAATATGAGAATATGAAGTCGGTTTTGTTTTTTGCTTAAAAATTACTTGGTTTACACCAGCTAGGTATACGAATTGATTGCGTTCTCCCATAAAATTTAAATTTTGAAATAATTCTCTATATATAATCCAGTAGGTTAATTACGTAAATATTTATTTTATTGTTGTTATATAATAAAATTTCCATTTGTGTATTTATTCCATAGGTGATTTTGCCGCGTATTTTGCAAGGCACGTTATCGGCTTATTCAGACTACAGATTCTTTGTTTGGTCTGGCAAAAAGAAATGGGGCCTATTTTTAATCCTTGTGCCATGGTTTTGGTTCTACACCGGTTCGCGGACTTTATCTAATACTCTAGAAACCTCTTTGACAACAATCGCTTTGAGTTACTTCCCATGGAGTGGAGAAAGCACAACATATTTGTGGTTTGCTGCAATCTGCTGCTTCTTGAGACCGACCGCCGCTGTTATTTGGATACCTTTGAGCATTTATCATTTACGAAAGAGCCGTTTGCCAACAAGCGATCTTATTCTTAAACATTTTTTGGTTGTTGGGTAATTTGAATCAAAAAATCAAGCAAGCATTTCAAAACTTAATAAATTCTCTCTTGACTTCCAAAAGGCTTTTAGTTGGAGGAGTTTGTGTCGGTATCGATACTTACTGGCACGGTAGATTGATAGTTACCCCATATGAATTCTTCAAATATAATGTGCTGCATAACATTGGTAGTTTCTACGGCTCTCATCCATGGTAAGAGGTGTGTTAATCGGTAACCACATAATTTATAAATTCTTATTACTTTAGGTATTGGTACTTCACCGTTGGTTTGCCAACTGTTTTGGGCATAAATACATTACCATTTATTTTCGGTGTAATGGATACCGTTCGTCATAAACAGAATTATCCGGTACGCAAGCAGTTGCTTATTACCATTTTGCTTTCTTTGGTTGTACTAAGCACTGTTGAACATAAAGAATTTCGTTTTGTGTCATCTTTATTACCTCTATGTCTCTACATTACTGCTGATACACTAACCCGTTGGAGTTACAATGCTTCCAGGTGAATATTGTTGTTTTAGTAAAATTGAAGTGCATAGATGAACTAGATTTATTTACACCAGATTTATGCTTTGGCTGAGCGCACTGGTAATAGTTTTTGGTAATGCATTGCCCGCATGGTACTTAAGCACTGTCCACCAGAAGGGTCCACTAGAAGTGATGACAAGTGTTCAACAGATTGCTAGGGATTATCGAGATGAAAACGAACACCGCGCCAGCATACTCTTTCTAATGCCATGCCATTCTACGCCGTTTTATAGGTTGGTTTTTTTTTTATAATTTTGTACCATTAAATGAAACTGTGTTGTGACTCTTATTTAATTTACAGCCATGTTCATGAAAATGTAACCATGCGTTTTCTAACTTGTGAGCCTAATTTACAAAATAAGCCTAATTATGTTGATGAGGCCGAGAAATTTTATGAGTCGCCAACGCATTGGTTGCGTTCTCATATTCCCTCATATCCGCGTACTGCTATGCCATCACACGTTGTGCTCTACGAACCTTTAGCTCCGGTCATAAATGAGTTTCTTATGAACTACAAAGTATTGCATCGAATTTCCAACGCACAAATAAATGAAAATGTTGCACCTCAACAGGTCGTGAGCGAATGGTCAAGATTGCTGAAGGAGAAAGAAGTAGATGTTAAAGCCCTTCTGAAGAGTGTGCAAAATAGGATAGGCAAAAATATTCTAGTATATCAACGCCTACGTGCCGGAGAAGAAAATACCTTCAATCGAGATGAGTACAAAACATCAAATGAAGCTACTTCGAGGGGATCAAGAGTAGTAGAAGATGTTCCTTACAACCAAGTCAACAGCGCAGAAGACACGGAGGATCCCCACAATATGTTCAATTGATCATAGACAAAATGCTTGTTTGGTTTTAATTGATCATAATTTATTTATGATTTTGAACTATTCAAACTTTACTATCTACTTAAAATAAGGTTTCTGATTTAAAGTCCCCTGCAATATATAACAAAATTAAAAAATGATATTATTTTTGTTTCTGAAAGAAACATACAGCGGCTAGGTAGTGCAAGAGACAGCTTTGATCATATATTTACATACAAATATTTGTAAGACTTATTTTGTGTTTATTTATTTCAGTACATAATTTATCATGTAATTTGTCAGTGTTTACTGATACAGACTTTTACAATATCTCGTCAATGAAAAATATATCAGTAAGTTTACTAGTAAATCCAGGCCACCTTACATTTGTATGTATATTTATAAGTCCAGCCAAGTATAAGACTATAATATTTGAGCCGAAATGTCTTGTTTATGCAAAAGCAATTTTAGAATAACGTTGATACTTTTATATAACATCTGGTAACTAGGCTATGAAAAACTGGTTTTATAATAAAAACTAGTTTTTTTTTTAATTTTAATAAAGTATTTAACTAAAGTTAACCAAGTCTTTGGTTTTCATTGAAAAATTTGTACGTGTCGTGAATTTCATTTTCCCCGAACCGGTTCACTTTTCACTCTTGCTTTCCATGGTTTTACTATGGGCGGATGACAAATTTTCGGTGAATTTTTTTTAGGCGAAACTTGGGATAAGGCAGAATATTTTGTTTTAGTTTTATTTGTTGATCCGAAAATAAGGCTATTTTTATTTTGTAGCTTCGAAGATTTTTTAAGTAATATAACTGGATGTAAACTCGCTGCCGATTATACCGCTTGCCGATTGCATTTTCAGATTCATCGATTACTCATCGCGGTATTCCTCACATGCTTGAAGTGTTCACCAATAGAGACAACTAGTCTTACAAATAGCAGCTATCTCTTTTGAACAAGTCAAATTATCTGTTTAATTTCTTATCGCAATAAGAGTGTTGCCTACACTTCGGTTTACTTACAACATGAATATTTAGGCCGACGCCTATAAACCCTATACACGCCTATAAACAAAAATATAAACACACTTCATCACTTTCCTTCATATTATGTCCTTAAACTTGATGGAAATTCCACCGCTTACAGAGGTCATTAACAAAATAAAGACGTTATCAGCGCCAACCAAAATGTATGTTTATGTTTAAGGTCGGTGTTATGCAGACAAACTTTTGTTTGCCAAATTAAATGGCGGCTGCTTAGTTTGCTCGGAGGTGGTTATGTCGAGTTTGGCACAGGGTTGCACGTTCATTATGGTTTTCATGGCTATTGCCAACACGAAATGAGAATTTCAGATGTACATAACGCGCAAAATTTAAAATTTTTGTATATGACAACACCGAATTTGCTTAGGTCGGTGTTATGCAGAAATTTTGTTTGGCAAACTGCGTGCAATTGTTGTTGCAGCAAACTCGGAGAGAGCGAGTTTCGCGACTCTCACAGCAAACTAATTTTGTTTGGTCAAATTGCAGCAAATTCGGTGTTGTCATATACAAAAATTTTAAATTGTGCGCGTTATGTACATCTGAAATTCTCATTTCGTGTTGGCAATAGCCATGAAAACCATAATGAACGTGCAACCCTGTGCCAAACTCGACATAACCACCTCCGAGCAAACTAAGCAGCCGCCATTTAATTTGGCAAACAAGTTTGTCTGCATAACACCGACCTAATACACCTTGGCGCCAACCATACAAAGATGTTGTAAAAATATATTTTACATTCCCATTTCACCTTTTTCGCTTTTTTTTGTGCAGAGACGAAGATTGGTAATCCGCGTTTTATAATATGTACTCTCCCTATTAAATATCCGGTTATGCTCCAAGAGAAAACTAAAGTTTGAAAAACTGTTCTGTAGTTATATAGTTTTATTTATTAATAACAAATTTCATTTTGAATAAATTTAAAGTCGAAAATTTGCATATTGAGTTAACATACAAGAAACGAAGGGAATATACACTCCCTCTTACTTTTTTTTATGACAAAATGTAACATACCTGGCCATACATTCAACCTCTACTGCCAAAAATCGGCACTAGTATCTGTCACGAACGAACGAAAGGAAAAATTAATTATTGTAGATCCAGCTGCTGCAATCTAATTAATTTTTGCTTTACATAAATTTTAAAGGGATTATTGCTGCATTCAAAATTCGAATAAAAAATGGCTGCTACAGCAAGGACTCTATTAAAATTAAAAGGTACGTAGATAAGTCTAATAGGTGGTATGAGTACACTGAAAAATTATATAACTTGGAATAGTTAGTGCGACCTTAGCGACCACCTTGGTTACCCAAATATATGGTGCGATAATTAGTTACTACAAAATGAAATATTTGAACTGAAAATTAAAAGATTGGTCGGTGTATTTTGGTGATCACTGAAAGTGACTCATGTAACTATAAAGAATAAATTATTATCCACGATTTCTCAACAGATAGGGTGGAATAATTTTTCAATATGAATAATAAAAATTGCCAAGTTCACTTGTTGCTGTTATACGGTTAATTAATACCTTAATTGTGTCAAAAGTATCGTGAAATTAACTTGTATTTCCCTGCATTGTAACTCACATGCATATTATGCAAGTCGCAAGCTCATTAATGTTGTTTTCTGCTTTATACCTATAGACAGTTTGTTTGTCGGTGTCCGTTTTAGCTCGGAATACGCCAAGACTCGTGCCAATTTACAATTAACAGCAGATTCGCGAGTGATTTGCCAAGGATTTACCGGCAAACAAGGTACTTTCCACAGTCAGCAAGCTTTGGAGTATGGTACGAAGCTGGTTGGTGGAATCTCTCCAAAAAAAGGTGGCACCACGCATCTTGGATTGCCCGTTTTTGCATCGGTAATTTGGATTAAAATTCATTATTGAAGTTTCAAAAATATATATAAGTTGAAAAAATCTCAGGTAGCTGAGGCGAAAAAGGCCACTGATCCGCATGCAACTGTTATCTATGTGCCACCACCGGGTGCTGCTGCAGCTATTTTGGAAGCGCTGGAGGCGGAAATTCCATTGATTGTATGCATCACAGAAGGTGTGCCACAACATGATATGGTGCGTGTAAAACACGCTCTTCTGAGGCAAAACAAGTCTCGTCTTGTGGGACCAAACTGCCCGGGTATCATTGCACCTGAGAGAGTAAGTAAATACCTCTTTATTTATACTATATGTTTGTTTGTATGTGCTTGCATAAGACATTTAGAGACGTAAACTCATTGATTTGTACGGTGTATTGGTGCATTATTTTTTGGATGATTAAGCTAAGCCTTTATATTATATGTAAATTTAAAATCAATCAACGACAACGAGATCAAAGTTCGGGTAGATTATGACTTCTTTCCCTTAATATATACATATACAAATTTATATATTGGTATGTGTATATGTATGTATGCAGAACCAAGTGGTAGAAAAACCAAAGCAAATCAAATAATTTTAAATCAAATTTATTGCAATTTTGAACCAATAACCGATTTGACCTTCAGTATTAGCATGATATTTCTATCAATGTTTATTGTATTAAAATGGATTTGACATAAAAAAATAAAAAGGGGGCTTGGTGATAAACTGTCTAATTCGTTTATTAGTTCCGATTTTGCACAATAACAATTGTCAATTTACTGAAACGAAATTCTAGCAACATCAAATTATTGCCTATTAATTGAATAGGCAATTTCGAAAAGCATAGCCACTTGAAAATATTTCAATTCTATAGAATAAAAATACTCTGCTACAAGTGAAATTTTGTTTGCCAAAAAAGGAATTAAATTTTTATTTGATTAAAATGGGCAATTGTTATTACATTTTAAATAGCAGATATCTCGTGGTTTTTCGATAAAATAGCGCAAGACTTATACAACTTTAAAGGTTTTTACATTTTATACTAGGGCAATTCATCTAAACACATAAAGGCCTCATATCAACGTAAACCTCGTAAAATTATTTAATTTTGTACGGAAAACCGGTTTACGAGGTTTACATAGTTACGAGACATTTACGCGTTTATATGAATACCCTGACTATTTTAGTGCCACTACATTTGCTCAATGTCGCCGACAAAATTAGAAATAAATTTTATTTGGCGTAGTCGACAATAGCAGTCCTGTAGACAAGATGTCCGTTCATAAGAACGTGTGTTCCCACGACAGTCGGGTCTACGTAACCGGAACGACCCAGATTTATATCTGGCCAAGGACTGTCACTCCAGCAACACTCCCCAAAAAGTCTTTGGGGAATTTGTATGCTGCTACAATAACAACAACAACAAGATGTCCGTTCATAAGAACGTGTGTGTTGAAAAGCTCGGGTCGGCTCAGCCATCAACGTTGTCGTCTGTTTCCGCTAAGGGGCGGCCCAGGAAGTGCACGACTTCAACGGGATCTGTCCATCACTCCACTCAGCTAAGCGTTCGTTATTTCTAATGTGAAAGGTACTTGCAGTAACTTACCCAAGTCAAGCAGTTATTGCAAAAGTGAAACAATACATTCCAGCAGAATTTACAGAATTTTATAACGAAATACTACAATTGCCAACTACAAATGAAAACAGCCTCGAGAAGAAGATTTTTATAAAAATCTACCAATTATCTTTTCTTTAAATACTAGGCTTAATTTTAGATACCTAAAATAAAAGTTTCGACAAATGTATATGATTTTTTTTAAGTTATGTGAAATCAATGCCGTAAATTTCGAGAAGGACGCATCTCATAAATTTAAAATATCTATGTATACATATGTATATAATAGCATTAACAGTAAACATTTCTTCAACTTTCGATTGATAATTGGCCTCGAAATGCACCTAAATTTATTTAATTTTTTTTTTTTTTTTTAAATATTACACTTCGTTAGTAAATGATTAGTTTTTTTTTACTTCCTGAAAAGTTTTAAAACCCATACATGTGCCCTTTTCGAAATTGCTGATTCAATTATTTTCGTATTTTTCTTTTTAGTGCAAGATTGGCATTATGCCTGGTCATATTCACAAGCGCGGCAAAATTGGTGTAGTCTCCCGTTCAGGTACACTCACGTACGAGGCCGTGAATCAGACCACAGAAGTAGGTCTTGGACAAACCTTATGCGTTGGAATTGGTGGTGATCCTTTCAACGGCACTGACTTCATCGATTGTCTTGAAGTCTTCTTGAAGGATCCTGATACGAAAGGAATCATTTTAATTGGCGAAATCGGTGGTGTTGCTGAGGAAAATGCTGCTGAGTATTTAACACAATATAATACGGTGAATTAAAAATATTTACTCCCTAAAGATCTTGTCTTAATTTAAAAATTTGTAACTTCTCGTTTTAGGGCATTAAAGCAAAGCCAGTTGTATCATTCATTGCCGGTTTATCCGCTCCTCCTGGACGCCGTATGGGTCACGCTGGTGCCATTATCTCAGGTGGCAAGGGTGGCGCTGGTGATAAAATTAAAGCGCTCGAAAAGGCTGGAGTTATTGTGACCAGAAGTCCAGCACAAATGGGCAAGGAATTGTACAAAGAGATGAAACGCCTGGAGTTAGCCTAGAATTTAGCCAAAAGCTAGGAATCAAAAGCAGCAGCATGAAACGATAGAGTATCAACCGAAGTATGCAAGAAGGCAATTATTGAAACGGTCAACTACATAGTAAAAAGTGAAACGTGTAATGCGACGATGTGATGATGACGGAGGGGCCATTGGAAATTTAATTAGATAACTATAACAAAATGCATAAATAATAAATCAGTGACATCGTTAGCACACATAACTGCCGATAGCAAAGTGCTAAGATATTCAAAAAAATTTCTCCTAAACACAGTTGCCACAAAAGTACCAATCGAAACCAAATTGATAACATAGTGAATATTACCACCAAGCTAATATACTCAGTTATGGGCCTTTAGGTTTATAATGTAAAATATAAGCATTGATTCTTATTATTCTGCGCACTCCTGATGTCTTGCATGTCATTGTAAATGCACTGAAATTGCACTGAAATTAAGATTTACACAGCACTTTACACGTACATACATAAATTAAGCGATCGTGCAAAATATTTTTGCCTAATGCAATGTTTTTTATTTAGTAATTATTACATTCAATTTGTGAGCTGCATGCATTAATATTTTATATGTATAAAATAACAAAACAGAATCCTATTTTTCAGCAATAATAAAACATAGTTTTGTTTAAGCTGAAAGTGTTGAATTGAAAACTCAAGAAAAGTAAACTGTTACAATTTGAATATCTACATAAACTAAATTATAATGTATGTACATAACTATGTATGTATGTACTTTAATAAAGTCTATAAATTAAAATTACCAAGTGTGTTATTAATTTAGTCATTCAATCGTTGTTGTTGTTCTTGTAACAGCATACAAATTCCCCAAAAAGTTTTTGGGGAGTGTTGCTGGAGTGACAGTCCTTGACCAGATATCAATCCTGGTCCTTCCGATTACGTAGACCCGACTGCCGATTTACATCAACTCAATCGAACAAATTTAAATTAAACATAACTTTTATTTGACTTTTCAAACAAATGGCAACCCTCTTAAAAATATTTTCAAACTACAACCTTCTTAAATGCCTTTAGCCTGAAGCCATATATGTATGTAATACTTCTGTATTAGCAGTACCTTGAAAGTACATCTGCATACATTAGAGTGCAGATATATAATTTTAGAACAAGAGAACCAAGCAGCCAATGTACCCAGAATGACGTTTGAAAATAATTAAACATCGGGAGCGGTGGAGTAACCGTAACAATCCCACCCAGTATTTCTGAAATTATTGATCATATACGAGTCTTTTTTTGAGTCCTCTCGGCGATTAAAACAATCAGAAATGTGCTCATATTTTGATCATAAAAGACTCTTTTGTCGGTAGAAAATGGTACCCTGCCCGCTACTCTTCTTGACGAGTCTTTTATTACCCACTTTTCTGATCTGTTTTCACTCTTTTTCGAGTCATATTTATATTCATTTGTGAGTCTTATTCGAATGATATTTGAGTCCTATTTCTAAAAATTTTCGAGTCTTTCTCAAGTCATTTTTCAGTTATATTTCCAATTATTTTCGAGTCTATTCCGATTCATTTTTAAGTCGTATTTGTTAACATTTGCAAGCCTTTTTTGAGTCATTTTTCAGTAATTTTTCAGTCGTATTTCTAATTATTTTCGAGTCTTTTTCGAGTCCTTTTTGAGTCTATTTTCAAACTGTTTGCGTTGCGAAAAATAAATAAGTATTAAATTAATGTATAATTAGCAAATCAGCATATTTTATTAAGTTCACTAAATCCACTTTTCAAAATGTATGCAAAGTTTTTTGTTCCAATTTATTTTCTTAACTTTTTTTTTATAAAAAACATAACTCATATTACAACAAAAACATAAAGATAAAATGTTTAAACTTTATACAGAACTCAGAAAAATTCAATGAATTTGCAGCTTTTTAAATAGATCTTCTAGAAAGATTTTGAGTATGCAGTTTTGTAGTCCATTAAATTTTAGTACGATAAAGATTCCAAGTTGCTAAAAAACTGCAAAAATGGCGTTACAAAATTGGAAATTTATTTAATTTTAGTGATTTTTGCACAAAGTTTTGGCATTTTATCTTTATGTTTTTGACGTAATATTAGCTGTTTTTATAAAAAATTATCGAAAAGAAATTATGTAGTTAAAAAACTTTCCACTCATTGTGAAAAGTGCTTTATGCCAATTCTTTTGTCCGTATAAAAAATTAAAAATATTAGATTTAAGAAATCCATTTTACGAATTGCGCGGGTTCTTCGCAGTGTGTACCTGCAATGATCTTGTTTGTTTTCGGATTTCCAACCGTTTACTAATAGACATAGACCGTTTTGCGGTATAACCGACGATATGTACATAGTATGTATATTACCCGGTTAGCCGGTAGTGTTTTAGAAGTGGAAACCGGTGATTCAGTGATTTTTGACGAGGTAATTGCTCATAGAAAACAACGATATTTAACTAAAGTTGATAACTTTAAATGGTTAATAATATTAGCCCTCGCCCTACGGATTGTTAATAGGGGGACCGAAACGCGTCGTTTGGTACCCCTCCCGACTTTTCCCGAGCTTTTTCAGCAGTTGCAGCCCCATTCTAGAGAATTACCATTATTTTTCAATTAAACCGCTCCTGGAGTGACGACAGTTGTTGGTTTGTAGTAGTTCACAAACATACATTTATACATACTAACACAAGTGAACATTTAATTAATAGGATGCGGAATAAAAACACATTTTGCAGATACGTTACTATCAATATAGAAGTATTACATATATGTCTGAGACCTATATTTTGATACATATTTCAAATGCCAAATCCCGTTAAGGCAAGTTCAATTTGAATTGAAAATTAAAAACAAATAGGTATGTCCCTTTGAAATATGCAACGACTTTTGTATGTACACATAAACAGGGCTGATGATACCCGGGTACCCGGTTAACCGGGTAATATACATATGTACATATCGTCGGTGATACCGTAAAACGGTCTATGTGTATTAGTACCCTTGGCACTTACAGGCCTATTCTGCTTGTAACCGAACATTTTGTAACAAGCTAATTTTGTTACCAACAATTGTCACCACTTCTTGCAACCGCAATTCTATTTACCTTGGTAACGTTTTAATTTATTCAGCAGCTCAGCTATGGAGTTTTGTGTAAATTCTGGTGTTGAATATTTCACGGGGCAATATTTTGTTACCTGTTCCTGAGATGGTAACAAAATTTACCGGTTACAAGAGTGTGGAGAATACGAAATGGGTTTAAAAATTGACAGTAACTTTACTAAGCAGTAACAAAATTTTTGTTACCCACGCAGAATATGCCTGTTAGATGGTCTCTTACGCGCACCGGAATGCATCTGTTAATCGTTACACCCTAATCAACGAATGACAAAACTGTCTACCTTTGGCTGATGAAGATGAACGGTTGCCAGAAGCGCTCAGATACAGATAACAGATCAATTAAGCACCAGAGGTAATAAGTGACAGAACGTTTTGGAATATCACCGCCGATATGTCGGTGCCGGTAAAATGAAAAATTTCTTTACTAAGGGGGTCACTCATACGCTCTGTCCGACAACTTAAGCACAGCTGTGCATATACACTTGAAGGGTGTTCGGTGGATGTTTGACCCACCGGATAGGTTTGGCAGTTTACAGAAAATTTTTCAAGTAATATTAATAATAACATGGTGCTACAAAAAAAAAGTGATTAAATACACCCGAAACAAAACTTAGTGTAGGTTGTAGGTATGGCCGAGTACAACATGAAAATTGGTCCCGTATAGTTCTTGACCTCTCCATCTTTTTATACAAAAGAAAACGTTATTTTCATACTTGATGCTTTTATCTATTAATAGTTTGACTATTTTCCATTTTCCAGTTTTGAAAATAAGATTTATAGACCTTTAATGTATAAAAATATATTGTTAGACTTAGCTTGTTGTGAGTTTTCATCGGTTAAATTTTAATGAGCCCCTATTTTTCTTCATTTTAATGTTTAAGAAAGTTGCCAAGTATATGGTATTTATATAAAAGAACATTTATTTTCGAATAAATTGATTCCTCATCCAATGCAATTGCATAAAAATTGTCGAAGTTAAGCAATGGACGTGCGAGCAGTGTGGCTAAGGGGTTCATAAATATTTACTCAAAGTTGAGATATACAATGGCTCTTAAGCAAAAAAAATGGTTTTCATAAAATTTTTGGAAAATGGGCGTAACACCGCCCACATATATCATATATACGTATCTCAAAAACTACTTGACCGATCTAGACCAAATTTGATATACACATTAAGCTTGGCCTCCTTCGGACAAAACCACGTGCTCCGCCCACATATCGGTAATATCAAAAAACTCAAGGCTAGCTATATTTCAGGGGGAGTAATGTTTGTCCGACTTCAAAAAACCATCAACACGGTGTTTAAGGAGGCCAAGCTCGATGTGTATATCAAATTTGTTAGAGATTTAAAGGTCTATAAGTCCCGTTTACAAAACTTCTTCGAGTTTTAAAATCGGATAGAAAATCAAGCTATTAATAGATAAATGCATCAAGTATGAAAATAAAGGTTTTCTGGTATAAAAAAATGGAGGGTTCAGGAACTATACGGGAACTATTTTCATGTTGTACTCGACCATACATACATCCCACACTAGGTTTTGTTTCGGATGTATATCTTATATTTTTTTGTAGCACCGTGTAATACACGGATAGGCAGATTTTTAGCTCTTAAAGTTAAAGGGGGTATAAAAATACATTAAAAGCATCACATATATTAGTTCTGCGAGTCGGAGTAAAAGAAATTTTAATACGCTCTTTTTCCCCCTTCATGCTGGCTCTTGATATTAGGAGCCGGCTTGGCACATTTAGGTGCTAGGTGAGGGGCAAAAGGCTCCTGGGAGCCAATTTGCCCATCTCTGGGGTAATACATTGGCGCTTTCGCATTAGGTTAATGTTTGGCCGAGCTTCTCCTCCGATTTGTGACGTGCTCCTTGATGTCGTTCCACAAAGGGGATGGACTTACAGTTTGCGCCGACTCCGAACGCTAACTGTTTATTTATTATAAGCGGTTTTACATTGCAGAAATAAACTCGGGGTTTTTCTCTTTCGACGGCGTCCACTATTGGGAAGAAGCTTTTGAAGTTGGTCGTGCCGAGAATTGATTCCAGGCCCACCCCTATATATTATTATTAAAATTTGAGCCTCAGCGTGGAACTAAAGTGACTTTCGAAAGCTGTTTTTATTTCTGAAAATCAAACTTTCCGATAGTACTTGTTGTCTGTTTACACAATGAATGCAGACAAGCCCACTTTCAACGATACCCTGAGACATTTTTATGCTTAGAACAAAATTACTGACCTGAAATTTTTTTTTTAAATGCTCAAATGCGCACAAAACAACCACAAAGTATCAAATTATTTAATACTTATATTGTTCATATCTGGAGAATGCAATAATTACAAGCATTTTTTTTTTTTAAATGTGATGAAACATTTTTATAATCTTATTGAAATTCGGAAAAAATCGCGTCACACGGCAACGCTCGATTGGTTTGACAGCACTCGCAGCAAAAATGAAAATTGCTAGTAAGTACGAGAAAGTTTAAATTATTTCTCAAAAGTGATTTCAGTTGCAGTTACACCTTGCATTTTTTTTCCGAAAATGATTTAGGCAAATCGGCAAAAAGGGACTTTCTGGCTGTTTACACGGGAAAGTAGACGCATTTTGACAGCGAAACACTTAGAAAAAGCAGACATATAATATAATTTCTCACTATATGATATGGAAGATTCCTAAATATGTACGTTCGTTTGCGGTATACCTCTTCAAATTTTTTCGGGTACCCGGGTAATTGCGACACGGCATCACCCGCTACCCGGGTACTCGGGTAGCTCCTTACCCGGGTAAAATCATCAGCCCTAGTATAAACGCACCGTATATACCGCCTGATTTATTAACTTGCTTTACATCGATTAATACTAGGTACCTCCGAAATGCCATTTTGTTCAAACTTTCCAAAAAGTAGAGCAAAAAAACATTTTCATAAGAGGGATAGTGTATTAGTGGATTAGCTCTGCAAAGTTATTTCTCGTGAAATTTTACTCTATGTACCCAAAGATTGCTTCAAAACCAAAACCGAAATGAGAACAAACTGTCGAGAACATACTCAAAGGGAATTATATAAGAACAAACCCATGTGGAACGTTCCCAAAGAGAACAAAATGCGAACATTTCTAAGAGAGCGAAATGGTAACAAAAGTCTCAAAATTTTTCTCATCCATTAGTTTGAAATGTTTGAATATCAAATAAAGTCAACGAAAGACTTAAGACACGAACCTTTCTTGATGATGAACGATCTGGAAGTTGAAATGATCCAGATTTGCTTTGCAATCTTGGTTCTCACTGAAACGATTTTTCATACGAGAAGGCATAAAGGCGTTTTTTTTTTGCGAAATTATGGTTCCTGCCATAGACTACAGTCGTTTACAAGGAACTGGCGACACAACAATGTAAAATTAACTTACTTGGCTGCATAGACTGTCAAAAAGAGGAAAATAAAGTTAGTTACTAAGAAGATCCAAATACAGTGTGCATTTAATACAATCATCACATTTTTTTAAGCTCTGGCAGAACAGAGCTATTTTAATTTGCATTTTCCTAAGTTTTGTAACGAGAAAATACTTGCACCATTCTATTCGATACTCACCAAGTACTTGTTAACGCGTATCGAAGTACAAAAACTACTCAGTACTTGGCAGAGGTACTCGAGTATATACTTATAACTACTGTGATCGGAGCACCACAACATTTGAGATATGGAGAGTAGACAGGAAGCGTGTTTGACGAAGCAGAACCCAGACCAATGTAAAGAGACGTCTACCCCCCGACCAAGATGAGATGAGAACAGCAATAATTCGTCTTAAAAATAATAAAGCTTCTGGAGCTGATGGAATAACCACCAGCCGAGCTATTCAAACCTGGCGGCGAAGAGCTGGTAGGGCCCTTGTATCAGCTGTTAGTAAGAATTTGGTCTGATGAATACATGACGGAAGATTGGAGTCTCAGTGTACTTTCCTAATACCATTGTAAACAAGGTCCTATCCATAATTCCGTGGGAATGACTGAAGCACTGTGAGCTCAGAGCTGTCAAATTCATCACTGAAAAGATTCTTACAAATCGTCAAATTCTAGAAAATATCTAATATGAGCAAACGAGGTTTTAGACTGGGCTATGCACTTTTGTACGACTTCTTCAATCTGATGTTGGAAAGCTGAACCAGATATAAGTAAAAAAGCACGACGCTGTTGGCGTATGCACATTACATTGACGTAAGCGTCCATACCTCGAATGTGAAATTCAGACCGGTGCTTCTTTCTTCTTAGTGCTTCCATTGAGTTCATGGGCATCCTTACGTTGCCATTGCCTGCGGAGGGGCAAGGATCAAAGGATCCCCTGCGGCTCTAAAGTACTTACCACACTTGGAATTTACCCACTTGGTAATTGTTAGCTGCGAAGGAGACCTGCAAAATAGTACTGTTTCCACAAGGGCAGACCATAAGTCTTCTGCCGCCAAGTCGTAGGAGACTTCGTTTTCTTAGAATTTTCTAGCATTAGTGCCATAGTGCTGTGGGTATAAATAATTTAGTTTCACCTGAGCCTACGATATTGTATGGCTAGCCCAGAGATCAACTGACCAATACTTAGTAAACGCGTTAAAGTAAAATGTTCTCTCGGTAAGAGCAGGTTTCAGTGGGTAATACACATGAAGGCTTATAAGAAGTACAATTGTATTATTTGTATCAATATGTATACGTACGTATGTATGTGCATATATACATATGTACGTACTCACCTTGTAGTATGTACATACTTACTACGCTAGTCTAAACTTTGAGAACCGCTCAAATCACGTTTGTGATTCAATTAAATGATATTACGCCACATTCGTTTAGATTGTGTGTTCATATGCACGTGCACATACATACATATATATGTATGTGCATTAGGGTGCCTCACCAAAAAAAAAATTGCGGTTTTTTCACTGAAATTATAAAATGTATTATAGTCAAAGACTTCCGCCAATTAAGATTTATGTACGTGAGCTGAACCAATTGGAAAATGCCATCAAAAATCTCTGACTTATTTTGATTGCATTGACACAATTTTTAAACATTTTTATGCAGACCTTCTCAGAGAGAGTCTATCATCTGAAGTGATTTTTTAGAAAAAATATTTTTAAAAACTAATTTTATTTAGGATTGGGTACAAAATCATTATGGCTCAATATTTTGTATTTTAAATACAGTATTCGAAATTCTGTATTTAAAACTCTGTATAGCGAAATTCTGTATTTTAATATTCTGTATCGCAAAATTCAGTATTTTAATATTCTGTATTGCAAAATTCTTTATTTTAATATTCTGTATTACAAAATTCTGTATGGAAAAAATCGGAAACAGTTCAAATTTATATTTTTGTTAACAAATTGGTTCAGAAATAGGGCAAAAAATTCATGTTTCTCTTTACAAATCACAACGTTAAAAAGCCTTCTTTTGTGAGTACTGCAATCGTTTTTATAACACTCTTGAAGATGCAATAGGACCGATTGTTGCTTGTGGTTTGAAAAACAAAATACATATTTGGTGATAAATCTCAGCCAAATATACACCAAAATTTTTGTCCGTGCACGATGAGTCAACAAGTATCCCTTTCCCTGTAGCACAAAATGTTGAGGCTTAGCATCATCGGCTAAAAGTTATCGTTGGGAAACATAATACAGGGTTGCAAGAACTCCTCAATGATTTCAAAAGCGAGTTGGTTTATGCGAAAGCTGAACCCGACAATTCATTTTAGCATCACAAAGTATATTTTTTGTGATAATTGCAGAAGGAAGCTATTTAATATAAGCACTCGAAATAGAAAAATTTAAGGAATGATAAAAGCAGATTAGACTTAAGTCATATTTGTTTTCTAAAAAGAATTGCTAAGAATTTCATGGTATAAATATTAACTTCTTTTGCCGATTATTTTTTATTTAAGAACGGAATAAGTTTGTTTTAATTTCAGTGTTACATATATAAGTTAATAGTAAAAATATATTTTTACAAGTTTTCTAAGTATGAACCAAATCGGCCCATAAATACTGGCTTACCAAATATCTCCCTCCTGCGCCACCTAGCGGACTATTTATATTGCATTGTCATCGGGTTGTGAGCTAAGTTTGCAGTTTCAAGTGATTGCAAAATTCGAGGACATACGAGTGAAGTTAAATAAAGGCTTGTAAGAAATACAGGATTTTGGCCCAAAATAATTTTGAACCCAGAATTTTACTTTCCAGAATTTTAATTCTACATTATTTGGTTCTTACAGAATTTTAGAATACAGAAGAAGAATTTTAACTGCAAGGAAGTTGTTCACATTTTTTCCAGAATTTTCGACCGCATGATTTTTTAAAAGCAGAATTTACTATCGCTCCCTTCTTTTTACATATAAATTAGATTCTATAATTCCGATGGAAAAAACAGTACCAAGTTTTTTTTTATGGAGAGTGATGCACCCTAATGTACATACAGGCATCAGAGTATGATGCAGCTCAGTTGTTTATTTCGATTGGTCTCTCAATGCTCAATAGGCCAAATAGGTTGCTACAAACGTATTGCTAACTTGGCCCGAAATAAGGCTCAGCTGAGACAGAGCATTGAGCTTGTCGAGCCGAATGTTACTTGGTTAGTTGTGTGACGATCGACTTTGGGCGCTGTTGTATTGTAAGAAGAATGTCGGGTATAGCGGCGGATCGTGTAAAAAATTAGCAGTTTGTAGATTCAAAAAATGAGATAATACATTGCATTTACATACATATCTACAAACATACTTATTTAATACTGTTGGAGTTGCAAAGACTGATAAAAAAAAAGGGTTCAAGTAATATCTTGCAACCCATTAAGACGCGTTCAGCTTTTTGAAAGCTATTCCTAGGAGTCTGTACAAGTTTATACAGAAGGTAAATGTCAGTAGCCAAATTGACAAAGACAGAAATACAAATATGTATGTGAAGCTAAAATCAAGTGGAAGTCAGTTTAAGTAAATTGCACCCACTACATTAAATCGAATATGTGTGTGCTTATGTACATGTACATGTGTATGTACTAGAAAATTTATAATTCTTCCAAATAAGTACATACTTGTGTCGGTGGGATTTTATGTTCCAAAATACATTTACATAAATAAAAAAAAAACAATTCTGCTGTGTTTATAATTAACTACTTATAGATTATGAATGTCTACATATGTTCGTATGTGTGCATTTATATATTGTATATGTGTACGAAAATTTGTACTGTATAAATAAATTATGGTACATGTGTTTATATGCATACATACGTAAGTGCATACCTACACATGCATTTATACATATTTAAATCATTTTTATAAAGAACCAAAATAAATACAGAAATGCTGAAATGCAATTAATATGTATGTACATATGTACTATGTATGTATGAACATGCATATCCCAATAGAAATCGGTTGTATGCATTCATGAAGTATGCATGCTGTATGAGTGAATAAGTGTGAGCAATTCATGCGTCGTCATGAATTTCCACAAATAAATTCAAATTTCAGCGAATTGCCAGCGAAGGTACGTTGTTGTTGTTATTTTAAGTACCCTTCTTAATAAATTTGAAGTGGAATTTTTGTAATATTTTCAGTCTTGTACAAAAATTTTGGTGAACGGACGTATTGTGAGTTAATTTTCAGCACTAGCGGGCTTTTACAAGATATGCATTTGCATATTTAAAAGCTACTTTTTTGTATGTGTATGCTTACAATTTCTACTGGGATGTTGGTATTTGTGTATGTATGGGCTATGTGATTTTATACACCTTCAAAGTAATATAGCAAAAGTCTACGCCGGCGTAGAAGAGATCGTTTATGCCGTTGACGATCGGAGTAAAATATTTGCTACTTGAATTAAATGAATTACGTGAGCGTTTGGTATTTGGTCGTCATCATTTTTTACCTGTTCTTTTTT